GGTACTTTATGTCACGTCATTGATGCAAAGGCTTCATATAATCTCCTTCCAGGTCGTCCATGGATCCATGAGAACGGTGTGATTCCTTCGACATGGCACCAATGCTTCATGTATGAGGAGAACGGTGTTGTAAAGAAGGTAGTGGCCGATGAAACTCCATTCACAGAAGCTGAGACACACTTTGCAGATGCAAAGTTTTACGAGAAGGACAAAATTTCTAAAGAAGACGATATTAGACAGGAAGAAGTATATCGCCTCTTGACTCAACCAAAGCTGAAAGAGAAAGTTGTTGAAGGCATAGAAGGGCTTACGTTCCCTCTTGCAAAGATCGAGATATCAAGGCCTCCTCAAGACATGTCTCAGAAAGAAATAAAGCACAAGGATGATGTTAAGAAGTTTCAAATCCCCAAGGCACGCACTAATGAAGGATTTGACCCAAATGCATACAAACTTCTGGCCAAGGCTGGGTATAATCCTAATGAACAGAAGTTAGGAAAACTCATTCCAGAAGCTGGTGGAGAAGGACCATCGAAGCAGATCAATCTTCGAGGACATGCAGGGTTGGGTTACGTTCAGCCGAAACCCATAAGAATCCTCATAAATAGAGCTACAACGCATCATATCAGTGCGGATGAAGAAGATGAGGTGATTTATAAACCAAAGTATTCCGTTTTTGATCGGATTGGGGGGGCAAAATCAAAACCCGCCATCTTTGATAGAATGGGGCCAAAGCCGAAGAAGATCATGAAGAAAACTTTACAAGAAAGGCTTGGAATGATCCCCTTCATGGTAAAGCACATGGAAGACCCATATAGTGGGCAAAACTTTGAGAGAAAGCCGATACATGAAAGGTTAGGGAAAATTTGCTCACGCAAGAAGTCTCTCAACAAATATACAAAAACACAAGTTTTGAATGAATGTAGAAGCTTGATTCCATCCCGAATGAGGCGAGAAACTGATGTCCAAGTCTCATGTGGAGAAACTCTCAAAGTACAGTTGAAAACAATTATTCATACTCAAATGCCGGCAGATAATAAGTTCAAATATGATGAACTGATTGATGACGAAGAATACATTGCCTCATCTTACCATATTACCTTTGGTGATGAAATCCCAGTCGAAGGTGAAGATGCTGATGAAGCTCCTCCTGAATTTGAAGAAGGAGTGCGAACAGCCTTGGATGAACTGAAGGAGGTAAATCTTGGCACCGAAGAGGACCCTCGTCCCATTTATATCAGTACTCTTCTATCGAGCGAAGAAAAAGAAGAATATGTGGCCTTACTCCAAGAATACAAGGATGTCTTTGCATGGACATACAAAGAAATGCCGGGGTTGGATCCAAAAATCGTTGTTCATCACTTCGCGATAAAGAAAGGATGCCGACCAGTAAAGCAAGCTCAAAGGCGCTTCCGCCCAGATTTAATTCCATTAATTGAAGCAGAGGTTGATAAACTTATTGAGGCCGGATTCATTCGAGAAGTGAAATATCCTACTTGGATATCCAACATTGTCCCGGTCAGAAAGAAAAATGGACAAATCCGAATATGTGTTGATTTTCGGGATCTTAACCTTGCTTGTCCAAAAGATGATTTTCCACTTCCAATCATTGAATTAATGATAGATGCTGTGACTGGGCATGAAATTGTGTCTTTTATGGATGGTTTCTCAGGTTATAATCAGATCCGGATGGCTCCCGCAGATGAAGAATTGACTGCCTTCCGAACTCCTAAGGGGATCTATTGCTACACGGTCATGCCATTTGGACTTAGGAATGCAGGAGCTACTTATCAACGAGCTATGCAGACAATATTTGATGATATCCTTCACAAAATCGTGGAGTGCTATGTTGACGACCTCGTGGTGAAGTCAAAAGCTCGGGGCGATCATCTATCACACTTAAGGGTAGTATTTGATCGCTTGAGGAAGTTTGGTCTCAAAATGAACCCTCTGAAGTGTGCTTTCGGAGTTTCGGTCGGGAAATTCTTGGGGTTTATTGTCCGTCACAAAGGCATTGAGATGGAACAAGCCAAGATCGACGCTATTGTGAATATGCCGGAGCCTCGAAATATTCATGAGTTGAAGAGTTTGCAAGGAAAATTGGCTTACATACGAAGGTTCATCTCAAACTTATCTGGAAGATGTCAACCATTTAGTCTAATTATGAAGAAGGGTGTGCCTTTCATATGGGACCAAACGTGTAAGAATGCGTTTGAAAATATCAAGGCTTATTTAATGAAACCACCGGTCCTAAATGCATCTATCTCTGGCCGCCCCTTGATACTTTACATTGCTGCTCAAGAAAGGTCTGTGGGAGCTCTATTAGCTCAAGAAAATGATAAAGGGAAAGAGAATGCCCTTTATTATTTAAGCAGAATGATGACCCCACACGAGTTGAAGTACTTGCCCATTGAGAAATTGTGTTTGGCCCTTATATTTGCAATCAAGAAGCTTAAACACTACTTTGAAGCTCACACGATAAATCTTGTCTCCAGAGCAAATCCACTGAAGTATGTGATGTCCAAAGTGGTTCTATCGGATCGTCTTGATAGGTGGTACTTGATATTTCAACACTTTGAGATTGTTTATGTCTCACAAAAATCTGTAAAAGGACAAGCTTTGGCAGATTTCCTAGCCGATCACCCTATCCCTGCTGAGTGGGAACTTTCTGATGATCTACCTGATGAAGATGTGCTCATAATTGAAGTTTTGCCTCCATGGAAGATGTATTTTGATGGAGCTGCACACAGAGAAGGTGCTGGAGCTGGTGTGGTCTTTGTTACACCCGAAGGTCAAGTTCTGTCATATGCTTTCACGCTTACGGAACAATGCTCCAATAACGTCGCTGAATATCAAGCACTCATTCTCGGACTTGAAATAGCTGTAGACATGAAGCAAACACGAGTTAATATCTATGGCGATTCAAAGCTAATTATCAATCAAGTGCTTGGAATTTATGAAATAAGGAAACCTGAACTGCATCCTTACAACAAATATGCAAGGGCACTCATAGGATGGTTGGGTGAAGTTACAATTGAACACGTGCCAAGAAAGGAAAACAAGCAAGCTGATGCACTGGCAGGGTTAGCATCGAACATGGCACACCTTGACGATGGAACTCAAGTACGGGTATGTCAAAAATGGGTAATTCCTCCATTCATTGGAGACGACGGTGCAGCCGAAGAGATAGTCGAGATGCCAACTACCTCGGTTTATGATATTGAAAATGAAGATTGGAGGCAGCCGCTCATTGATTATCTCACTGATGGGAAATTACCTGAAAATCCCCGCAAGAAAGTAGACTTGAAGAGGCGTTCACCGCGTTTCATTTACTATAAAGATACACTTTATCGAAGATCATTCGATGGTGTATTCCTTAGGTGTTTGGGTGGAGATGAAGTCTTACAAGCAATGGAAGAAGCACATTCAGGAGTATGTGGAGCTCATCAGTCCGGTCCTAAGCTGCACTTTCATATCAAGAGGATGGGATATTATTGGCCGACCATGGTAAAGGATTGCATGGACTATGCTAGAAGATGTCAAGCATGCCAATATCACGCAAATTTCATCCATCAAGCACCGGAGCCTTTGCATCCGACAGTAGCATCATGGCCATTCGACGCTTGGGGACTTGACGTAGTTGGGCCAATCACGCCTAGCTCATCAGGAGGGCATTCATACATACTAGCCGCTACTGATTACTTCTCAAAATGGGCCGAAGCAGTTGCATTGAAAGAGGTGAAGAAGGAAAATGTTGCTGATTTCATCCGAGTTCATATCATCTACCGCTTTGGTATTCCTCGATATATCTTGACGGACAATGGGAAACCTTTTGAAAACAAGTTGATGGGCAAGATATGCAAGTTATTTGATTTCAAGCAACGGAAGTCCTCTATGTACTATGCTGCCGCCAATGGCCTCGCTGAAGCTTTTAACAAGACTCTATGTAACCTGTTGAAGAAAGTAGTGTCAAAATCAAAGAGGGATTGGCATGAAAGAATGGAAGAAGCATTATGGGCATATAGAACGACTTATCGAACACCTACTCAAAGCACTCCATATTCTTTGGTGTATGGTACCGAAGCAGTCCTTCCCCTTGAGCGCCAAATACCATCTCTGAGATTGGCCATTCAAGAAGGACTCACTGATGAAGAAAACGTCAAGTTGCGGTTGACAGAACTCGAAGCACTTGATGAAAAGAGGTTAGAAGCTCAGCAGAACCTAGAATGCTATCAGGCTCGTCTATCGAAATCATTCAACAAAAGGGTTAGAATTCGCTCGTTCCAAGTTGGCGATAAAGTTCTAGCTGTGAGAAGACCTATCATTATCACACGAAAAACGGGGCACAAATTCTCACCTAAATGGGATGGTCCTTATGTTATTCAAGAAGTATATTCAGGCGATGCCTACAAGTTGGTCGATGGAGATGGCTCAAAGATTGGCCCGATCAATGGAAGATTTTTAAAGCTCTACTACCCTTGATATTTGGGGTATAGATATGGCCATAAGAAATGTTGAATGGTTTAAACCACCAATGATGTTGTAAGTGGCTAAACTGCTAAAACATCTCACTTTGTCTATGGGTGAGCATAATCATAGATACTCTTGGCCCACGAGAGTTTAAAATGTGTACGGCGAGCTCTTGGCCCACGAGAGTTTAAAATGTGTACGGGAAGCTCCTGGCCCGCATGAGTTAAAACTGTGTACGGTCTCCTCCTTTAGATTACCAATTCAAATGGTACTTATGAACTACGTTTGACTTTATCTCCTTCATAGGAGTACGTAGGCAGCTCAAAAGTTTCATTTTTAAGTTCAGTTATAACAACACAAACCCTCAATAAAGTTTGATCTCAGTCACATTGAAAAAAAAAAAAAAGAGAAAACAAAAGAAGAAGCAAGGCAATATCAACTCATGAGAAGCAACAAAGGAAGCAAATATTCATATATAGTTTGGTAAGAAGTAAGGAAAAGAGTTGTTTGCTGACTAAAAGCTAATCTAAAAGCTAAGTATCAGCCTAAAAAACAATTTAAAGCTAACTAAGTCATCCTTCAAGGCCTTTAGCTCCTTCTTCTGAGTACTTAAAGCAAATTGATCCTCATTTGATGCTTTGATAGTCTTCAAAATCCGCGAAGATTCCTCCTTAGCCTTCGTAAGAGCTGCGTCTAAGTCACTAGCCTCTACACGACGCTTGGAGATCGAAACTTCTACTTCCTTAGCTTCAGCTTCCAATAAGGCTATCTTCTTCTTGATATCATTAAGAGATTTCTCATCATCAAGTAATGCCACTTGGTTTTGAGATCTCTTAGCTTCAAGATCTTCACAAAAATCCTGCGACATAGCCAATTCCTGAGATTGTTTCTCAGAAGGAACCCTATCAGCAACAGTCGAACACGTCTGATCAAATGCTTGTGCCCTTTCAAAGAAATGCTTCACTCTCGTCTTCACACATGGAAAGGTCAATGCCCTCCTTCTCCATCAAGATAACACAATTCTCAACACTCTCCCGAAGAGATGAGACGTTCTCTGCTGTAGCCCGTCCTAACTTTTGTTGAATGCCACTCCAAGTATTAATGACGAACTGCTTATACAAAGTAAAGAAGTAGTCTTCTGCATGGAATACAGATGCAGCCGGTTTCACATGAGAAGATTTGGGTATTTCATGGATCGGAACTTCTTTACAATGACTTGGGCCGGTTTCTGCTATCAATCCAGTGACGGTGTCATGATCTGCGCTTTCTCCTTCACTTGAGCTAGATGAAGAAACATGATTCGAAGAACTAGCATCATCAAGGACTGCATGAATCTGCAAAAGAAGGAAGAAAATATAAGTACAAGCTTGAAACAAAACTATAAAATGATGAAACTAACCTTCAGTGGTCCAAGACGAGGTTTTCTAAGATGTTTCCAGTTCTTCTCATCACTACTCTGCTTTTCAAGAACTTGATTCTCACTCACCTTGACAGGAGACATTTCTTTCTCAGCGTCCTCGATCAAAACTTCAGCCCTAGGTGCTGCAAGCATAGCCTTTTTCTGGGGCAAAGACTTAGCCTCAGTATCAGGTGCCCGTTTCTTCTTGGAGACCAGAGTCACGGGATCTGAAGGGGTGATCACATCATCAACTGCAAGATCACAAATCCTAATCAAGTCACCCACATGATTCTCGAGGTAGTTACCATGAACTTGGCTCCACCACTCTTTATACTCCAAGGAGAAATACTTCGCTGGAATAGTAGGAGGAGTCGGAAATACCGCTTCAGCTTGTGACATGCCGTGCTCAAACTGTAGCCAAAGCTGAAAGCCAGCAGCAAGTGTGACACTCCGATTACGCATCTCGAGAAAGCCAGAAGCATAAGCCTGAAAATACCCAAATTGGCGACTAAAGCGGTGAGGAGTGTAAGGCTCAGCAATGCAATGATCCCGGTAGCGTAATACAAGATAATTCGACCGAAGACTCCTAAAAAGCGCCAACTCAGCCTCTGGAGGATTTTTACCATCGAAGAATGAATATTCTTTGATTCTCCGATGTGTAGAACACACCCATGCTGATACATCTCCCTGGAAAATTCGTTTGTGCGCACTTCTCTTCTCGAGGGATCTCGCTCCACCTTCTCCTGAATAAGAAATCATTAATGGCGTCGTGGACTGGATCTCATTCTTAAAATGCGTATCAAAGTATGATGTCAACCATCCATAAACGTAGTGAACGGGAAAACACGTTCTAACTTGATCAGGAGCTGGAGCATTCGAGATCCGATTAAGCCCATGATAGACACTTGCAAGAACCGGGACCGCAAGGCATACATGTTTCCCTCGAGCCAACATACACGCAACTCTGAATGTTTCCGGGCGGATAACTCTAGGACCTTCATGCGGCAATACAAATGCGCAAAGCCAACACGATAAAAATGCCGCTAAATATACCTCTTCCTCATATTCAGTAGGAACCTTGAGTACGTGGAATGGTACCCTCATAGAATTCGACCATCCTCCAAATTTTGGAATAGCTCCGCTTGGATTATGGGTCGCCTTGGCACGAGATGTTCGTTTCTTTTCTGTTCTCACTGGAGGCATAGTATACTTGGAGGCCTTTCTGAACCAGAATTTGACCCACGCATGAACACGCAAAACACGCTTATCTCCGGCTTTGGGAAAGAGATGATGATATGCGTGAAACAAATATTTACAGAGATGAAATAAACGGTCAGCGCTCGTATTTAACAACTCAGAAGTGCCCGGAATAGATTCATCATATGCGTCTCCGATGATAGGCAATCCTCCGATAACGTGCAAGTCCCAAAGTGTGATCGTCAATTCGCCAATTGACGTAAGCAAAGTATTCGTCGTGGGACACCATGCCTCACAAAATGCTTGAATAGCATTAGTACATCGGTCATACGTGAATAATGAGGCATAAACAGCATCGTAAATAAGCCCTTCCTCCAGAACGCTTTTACTCATGTCCAAAATATCTTCGGCTCAGTCCCAATAACCTGTGATGAATCTAAATTCACCACCAAATGATAAGGTCTTTGTCAAAGGGGCGTTTTCATCAAGGATACGTCTACCCAAAGAAGGAAGAATCTCAGAAGAGGACATGTGAGTAAAGCCAGATACTAAGGTCCGCATTGTCTGAGCTTGATACTCGCACTCAGGAGTTCAGTTCGTAACTCGATAGGACACAACCGTTGGACCCCAAAACTCGCGAGCAAATGGCTTGTGCATCTCCAAAAGAATCTCTTCGTCATTCTTCTTGCTCGTTGATATAGAGAGATACTTTTTGCCTCCACGCCTTACGTCCTTAAAATATATCATTTTGGACTGCAAAAAAAAATCATCATTATTCTTATTATTATTACTAAAAAAATAAAGTACTAATAATAATAATGATAAATAAATAAATAAAAAAAGAGGCCGCTCAGCAATGATAATCAATCTCAAGTCCGAGTAATTTCATCTTCCGCCTAGACCAGCAAAGAAATCAGTAACACTGGCCCCAATTTTCTCGTCCGTTATCTTCAATTCCCGTCGTCTCCTTCGCAGCAGGAATCTTTCACCTTCCTTCGCAGGCACTGGGACCAAATCGCAGCAGGACCTCGATGAAATTGATCGATTTCTCTTCCTCGCCCGAAGTCTACACCGAACTTCGCCCACACCTCCTTCTCCGACGGCGGACATAAGCGCGAATCAGCACCATCCATACTCGAATTTACTTCTTCGCCGGAAATTACAAAGCGAACCAACGAAACCCTGCCTTCCCGTCATCTTCTCCGGCGGCGAGATGGCAGCTCGTGATGGAGCTGGCTCAGTTGCGATTAGTCCGGAATCCGCTGAATTACTCTCGTCGTCTGCTTCCTCTCCAAGAATCAGAGACTGCTTTGGTCCCCTGTACTAAATAGGAACAGCGGCTAACCATCATCCATCCATGTCTAAAATCACAAACTCGATCGACGCTTCAGTTCCCAGCAGCACAATCAGCCCGGCGGCAAACAGGGGAGCTGCGACCTGCAAATTTCCCTGCAAAACAGTATAAAGAAGAAGAATATACAGAGTAAATATCAGCGGAATTTACCTTATGCGATCCCTTGCTCTATAGAACTGTCGAATCTTGGAATAGAATATGCCAATGCCCTGATGAATCGTCTTGCAGAAATAAGCTGATATGGTCCCCTATTTATAATTGTTGTGGCCAGATCCTATGTTAGCAGGAAAAGTTCCACTGGGAGTATATTTGCATTTAAGAGGGTGACAAGAGTTCAAGTGGGATTCTAATTTTTTTTGGGTTACAAGTGGGACTCTAATTTGACAAACCGTAAGTTGTTTGGGATTGATATTCAAATTAGAAAACGGCTTTGAATTGGAAAAGGCTGCCCAAGTTTTGAACTACTCGTATTATCTACGGATGATTTTTCCTCAAATCTTTATTTATTTGAAGAATATTGAATGGCTATGAAGTGCATGCCACGTGTTTTTAATTGTATGGAGCATGACTCACCTTAGAAACCTTTTATTTGGGATGCTTTTGTTTCATGAGTTTTAGACCGACTTGGTGAATAAAGTGCATTCTAAAAAAAAACGAGTGGTATGGTTCCACTTATTTCGAGACTCACTCGTTCGTGATAATAAAATCAGTTCACTAAACAAGTCTCGAGGGGGCATTTGTGGACATATAAAAATTATTAGACCAATATTCAATTCTGTTGGGCTGCTCATGACGGTTGTTGGGCCTTATAAAAATTTTAATATGGAGCCATTCGGATAAAATTTAATTATTGAATTAATTTGGGTTAAAAAAAATCCAATTAATTTAATTATAAATTAATTCCTTAAATGAATGGACTGGTCCTATTAATTTCTCTATTTTGAGCCCAATAAATGAGAGACATGATCCAATATATGAAGAGGAGGATGAATCTAGTCAAGAAATCAATCCATATGCATGGAAAATGACTGTGTACCTTGTTAAAAAGACTGTCCAGATACATCAAACAAGTGCTGATTTTTCTAGCTATCAAATGCAAGCAAATAGAGCCCGAAGCCCATTTTAACCGAGGCCCATGAGGTACGGACGAAATTTTGCAACCCTAAAGCATATTTTCACCACCTCCACTCCTATAAATAGGGGTCTCAGTTGAGAGGAAAGGGAGGAGAATTTTCAGACGAAGAAACGTTGCAGAAAAGCTCTCAAGAACTCCCGTAAGGCTCTGAACGATCCCGAAGAAGAGGAATAGATCAAGCCACGATTTTTGTTAAGAATATACGAATAATCCTTTGTGATTTCGTCGATTCTTAATAAAATAAATCCAAAAGTTGAAGAACATTCGAAGATCCGAAGAACAAAGCTTGAAGATTCGAAGATCTGAAGAACAAGACTTTGAAGATTTGAAGATATGAAGAACGAAACTTTGAAGATTTGAAGATATTCATATTAAGATTGAATCAAGATTCAATTGAAGATCAAGCCACATATCCCGGGAGGTCCTTAAACAGAAGATCAAGCCATAAAACGACCCTTTTGTTGAAGATCAAGCCACTTGAAAACCGGAGGCCCTTCAAGCTGAATTCTTAATTCAAGAATATTTGAAGATTCAAAGAACGAAGATTCGAAGATTCAAAGAACAAAACTTTGAAGGTTTGAAGATACGAAGAACGAAGGTTCGAAGATTTGAAGATCTGACGAACGTTCAAATATTTGAAGAATTAAAGATTTAATTTTGAATTAAGTCCTTTAATTATATTTATTTCAAATTGCAAGTGAAGAATCAGAGGATTCATATTTAGAGATTGTACCCAATATTCTCACAAATTATTATTTGCGATCAATTTTAAGTAAATACTTAAAATTTGTTTCACAGACAACTTATGCTTAAATTAAGCATTTAAAAGTTAAAAGTTGTAAGCATATTGAGGGATGCTTTAAAATGTTTTTCACTTTTTCTATTACATAAAAAAAAAATCAAACACTACCAACTTTAACTTTTCAGAAGCATTTTTTTCTCAAACACTACTAACTTTTATTATTTAGCTTTTCTTCCAAATTCACTTTGAAAATCTGTTTTCAAACACTCTTATTAGCTTTTTTTAACAAAAAAGCCAAAAAGTGATTTGCAAAAGCAACGACAAACATAGCCTAACTAATTCGTAGCTGATTGCATATATTTTACTTTACCATCTTCACGGTTGTATGTAGTGATGTTTTTTTTATCTATACATGCGAACTTAATGTATTTTTTAGTTTGAAAGGCTTGAAGTGGATGTCCTGTTCTTGCTAGGACGATGATGAACAACCTCCATTTCTACCACATAACAACGATTTTTATGTTGTAATTATTAAATACAAATTGAAATATTTGTTATTCTATTAAAGTTTTCCCTCACTTAAGCTTGAGCTTTGATGTTTGGAGTGATCAAAATTTCAAATAAATTTTCAATACTTGTGGTTTGGATTTTATACATTTTTATGTGGTAGAAAGTAAATTATGTGATAATTCTTAGATGAAAAAAATACTATAGGAACCGATAAAAGCAAGAACTTAATCATTTAGTATTGGTTCGATTCCATAACGATTCTTGATATTTTATAGAAGAACCGAACCGATTTCATGAGTTAAATTTTTTAAACGATTTCACTAATTTTGAGTAATAACTAAACCGGTCGCAAGCCTAGTGCGATTGTATTGTAACCAACATACCTAATACAGGAAATCAGAGTTCTACACCTTCTTCTGTTTCCTTTGACTACTTGATTCCTTCTATAAAACAAGCACCACCGAAAGAATTTGTATTGGGTTTTGGAGCCGAGGGAACTTGCCTCAACATGGTAAACTTAAATCTAACCAACATCACATTTCTTTTCTTCAAATTTAAAAGCCCTGCAAACTCCTTTTCATCTAATAAAATGATGACAATTATGTATAAACAAATAAAAGGCTTACCAACACCAACACTCTTGACATTTGTTTGTCCTTGAGCACACAAGAACCAAGGTTAGGAAAAAACAATTAAGCTATCCAACTCATTGGTGATTCAATGTGGACATAAGCACACCAAGATAAAAAATAGAGATATTACCAGAAATAGGACTAAAACGGTTTGAAAATTCCAAAATAGGACTGCCATGTTTTTATTCCCAAAATATGACTAATTACTGTCATATTTTGGCAGTACCAGACTTCAAACATGGCAATATTTTCTAAACATAGCAATAATTAATCCTATTTTGGGAATAAAAAAACATGACAGTCCTATTTTGGAATTTTCAAACTGTTTTAGTCCTATTTCAAGAACTTTCTCTAAAAAATACGGAGGAAGTTTGAGTGAAAGGTTCTTATAAAGCCTATTATAGCAAAAAACAATGGGGGCCTCAAACTATTCTCAAATATAGCATTAACTAATCCTATGGATCCAACACATTCAACCCAAAGTCCCAACAACACAACAACTCAAAGTACATAAAAGAGAAGATGATATACTGGAACGAATCAAGTATTTATACAAGCCTAAGTTTTACTGTTTTACACGTCAAACATTAAGGATAAATACACGTTTGGATTAACGTGTAATCCTTGGGATTTCTTGGGTAATGGGGTATGAGGCTCACAACTGGGTTTGAAAGTCCATGAACAAAGATTCCACGTTTTATAGAAATCGGAAATTCAGCATTTCATTCCTCGCACAATCCAAGTGTTTCAAATGATAAGAGGTAAGCTGATCTGATTCCCTAATGTGACTGTCTAATTATAATTTATTCATGCTCTATTTCATTAGAATTTGATATCCATCATAAACCCATCCAACTGGGAAAGTTTTATATGGACCTAGTGTATATGCACCACGCTCATTGAGTTCTCCTGCATCGGGCTTTGCGTGTTGTAAAAATGCTCAAAGACCTTCCAGGGTTCACCATGCATATGAAATTACATCTATACCTTTACATGAATAATATACATCATTATGAGGTGTGTGTGTATTCACAAGGATGATTTCTAAGGTAATCCATGGCAACCATCAAGCATTACTTAGCCTGATACTTTATAAAAAGTAGAACATGATGCGCTCCATTATATTTTTGGTTTCAAGAGACGGAGCTGTAAAGCTTCCGTGCCGTTATTGACATGTTCCTATTATGTGATTTCAATAAAGTACCATCCTGGAAATCTGATGGCATTACAGGCCGAATGCTGCTGGGGTTAAGAGGAAACAGAGTCTTGTAGTAACCATCCATTATAGCTTCCATATTGCAAGTCTCAGCAACCTTAGGAATCTGCAGACAGAGAGAGAAACTCTGATCACACACAAAAAATCCTTAAATAGGAATAAACTTAAAAAATGATAAATGTATTACTCCCACTGTCCCATTTTGGTTTTCTTACTTTCTTTTTTGGGTGTCCCAAAATAAATCTCATGTTTCCCTTTTTGGCAAGAAATTTGTGGTATATATCATTTCACTTTATTCTACTCAAATCTCAACCACAACTTTTACTTTTCAACGACTTTACTAATAATTGTGTCAAACTAAAACAAGACGACCATTATGGAGCGGAGGTAGTACTAGAATAGTATAACAAAAGTCATGGGGAAAATGTGACATCCTTAATGCAAAGTGACCATATTGGATCCGTAACCATTTACTTTTATGTATATTTTTCAGAAAAATACTCCATAGAATTTATTCATTCCTAAATGACGAAATAGTTTTCTCTTTTTAAGACTAAATGAGTCCTATTTTTGACACAAAACAAAGATGACTCATGTTTTACTTCTATTTGAGGTGATTTCTTAATTACCCACCCCGTAGTATACGAATTAACTACGGTTTACCTGATATATGTCTCGCATGTATCCATGCAGATTGTGATACTCTACAATCTTCTTTTTGGAACACTTGAACAAAACATTGTACACAAGATCGAACCTAATCAAGGTTGTGAACAAGCACACATCTGCAAGTGTCAACACATCACCACACAGATACCTTGAACTCTCCAAATGATCATCAATCTTGTCTAATGTAACAAACAACTCTGAAACCGCTCTATCATAAGATTCTTGACTTTGAGCAAATCCACATCTAAAACAAGCAATACTACTTCATCAAACCCATAGGCCATAGAAGAAACCCCCAAACGAGGGATCTTGTAAAATGTGTTATAGTTATATCCACACCTGAAAGTTACCCATGTTTCATCTGATATAGACTTCTCGAACAAATTGACTATGTAAAGTGTGGGCATTTATGGTTTGGCTTAGTTCTTTTAGTTTAGTTTTTATATGATCACCAAAATAAAAATAAAACATTTTGGTATGGTTTAGGTTCAGTTTGGTTTTGTTATTCTTTAAAAATATATCAAGGATTTACTGTATTTGTTTCGATCAGTCTGGTTTTATTCAGTTTCGGTTTGGACCAATAATCTAATATGGTTTGGAAATAGAATTTTCAAAATTAAGCTGAATTGCATGTGGTGCTTTTATGTTTGGATTAGTTTAGTTTGTTTTTTAGGTCCAACCAAAATATCAAATCAAAATGTATGCCCCTGTTGTTTAGGTTTATGGTGTTCAGACTCATTGTACAACTCTTAAATCACACTCTAGCATGCTACTGACTTTAAAACTTAAATTTATAATGCTTACTATGACATGACACAAAGAAAGCACTTTGAGCATGAAAGCTTCACATTGCATAGATTTTTTGGTTCTGACTTCTGAGTTGGATGTTCAAGTTGTTATATACATGTTGTTAAGCTTTAAAAGTTTTGAAATGCTTGGAATGAAATCAGGCATAAGCAATTTGATAGAAAAAAATTGCTTAAACTACTAACCTATAAACACCATTGTTGACATTAGGGTATATGATCTGGTTCCATTGACTGATCTGATCGCTCAGTGATGGTGGACAAAGGTCTAATTCTGGATTACTGGCTATCCCATTTAACCCAGAATTGAAAAACTCTATAATATCGTAGCTCTCGTTGCAAATAACCTGCTTTTTGTCTGAATCCCATAGCATAGGGACGGTCGAGCGGCAGTTATAGGCGCCACCGCACCTATAAACATCCTTGAGGGTTTTGAGGCCGTCAGATTTGTCTAAAGTCGGGACAAGCTTATAGCTATCCGAGGCCGGACTACCCCGGAACTCCCAGGAGCCGTCGGCGCCGGGGGCCGCGATTGAGACGGGAATAGCATCTTCCAGACCCTTCAAAGCTCGGACAATTAGGGTTCTGTGGGCCCAAGGACAAGATAGGCCGACATAAAGGTGCATGTTTCCGTTCGGTGAATGTTGACGGTGGATGCGGAATTGGGAGGCGGGTCGGGTGTAATCGCCGGTTTGATCCGACGGTGCGAGCTGGGACATCATGATGTGCCAAGAGGTAGACCACGTGGAACGAACGGTGGAAATAAGGAGCTGGGGCGGCAGGGAGTTGCCCCATAGGAACTTAGTGATGCCGGAGATGAGGCTAGTAGTATTGGAGTTTTCCCGTTCGACGGACATTCGAGGAAATAGATGGCGGGTACGGGACTTTTTTGAAGATCTGACGGCGGTGCGGCCGCTACCGGATAGTCGCTTATCGAGGTCGGCGGTGGCGACGGAGAAAATGCAGCAGCCGAGCGGGTTACCAGGGGAGTACATGGCAATCACTGTAGCTTATCCGACAATGGAAAAAAATTGTCTGGGGTAAATATGTCAATACGTATTTTTCATAGAAAATAACCATCTGTTAAGTTTGAATACCCGGCAGTAGCACAATAGCAACTAGGGGAGAGCAAACCCGACCTTACTCGATTGACCCGATTGAATATATCCGATTTTTTTGTTGGTGTCGGAAAACTCGACTCGAAATATCCAAAGTTGATCCGATTCTTGCAACCCGAGACTTAAGCGGGTAGGGTTACCAATTATGCTACCTGACTCGTCCGAAAAATCGAACTAGCGTAGTATATATACTACTTTGAATTATTATTCATGTTCAAATATTTCAATTATTGTATGCAGTATGCCAATTACCATATTATGCATGTTCAAATATTTCAATTACCGTATTTGTACTATAACTTTGAATGTTGTATTGTTATGACTTTGAATGATATTTTGACCAATTATCATTTTATTTATCAGAATATCAAATATGTCAATCACCATATATTATTATTTTACATACTCAAATATGTCGATTACCATATGTATACAACTATTACTTTGAATGTTATACCGGTATAACTTTGAATGCTATTTTTACCAATTACCATTTTGTTTATCACAATTTCAACAATAATATATTAAAATCCGAATGGACCCGAAAACCGAATCAATCCGACCGCAACCCGGTTTTCTTCAACCCGAAAGACCCGATATTTTTTTTGATAGGGTAGGGTTTGAAATTATTAATCCGATACCCGAACGGGTTTACCATTTTTGAACCCGACCCGCCCGAACCCGACCCGTGCTCTGCCCTAACAGCAGCATATAAATTCCCCCTATGCATTCAATAAAAGAATGAAGTTCAAACAATTCAAGATATGACACAAAACAATTACATAAGAAAGATGCAATATTTTCATATAAACTCACCAATTTCGAAGCTGTTAAAAGACATCAATTTCAGGAAAATTATCAATGTATGGATAACAATCATGGATTAAAAAAAAAGTGTAAACAATCATGTGAATTTTTTGAAGTGGCTACAATGTATTATTAAATGTCAAGTACACTATAAAAAATAAATTTGCCTCATCAAATAAGAGTAATGGTAATTAAGGAATTGAAATCCGAATAGGAGGTATATATGGTTTATGATTGATTAACTTTCAAATCAAACGTATGTTTAAAATATTTAGCCATATAAAACAACCAATATGTGATTGGAATCTAGTAGACTTCCTTGTAAACTTCCTTCGAATCTAAACTACATGAAACACTCCTAATCTCTGTTACAAAAGGGAAGCCATGAGAGAACTTACTCACAAAAGCAAATTCATCCATTTTGACGGCTTTTGGATTTCGTTCACCCATACCGGTTAAGAGGACTCTATTTCAACCACTTCAGACTTGTCTGCATCATCTAATTCTCAAACCATCCCGCTAAGCATCTGCTTCTGTTTTCTAGGATTCAAGGCAGGGGTGGGCAAAAATACCGAACCGGCATGTTACCGAACCGGAACGGTATGGTACCGGACCGACAAACGAAGTTTGAAATGGATCTAAATTTTTTTATCCCGAACCGGACCGTACCGGTTCCAACAATGCCATTACGGGTTCTCATAAAATGAGAACCGATACCGGACCGGATCGGACCGAAGTATGATTTAATTATTTAAATTTGTACAACTATAGTTTATCTGAAATTTATTAAGTACCTCATCCATTCCAAATTGATTTGCAAAGGCAAAATTTTGTTATCAATCAATGTTAATGTTAAGTCCTCCCTAATGATAATTAATACAATTTTTCATAATTAAAATTTACATATTTAGAAATCACATTAAAATCTTTTTAAAGATGCAAAATCCAAATTAGAATATACGAAGTGCATTTTTTGAAAGACCAAATTAGAATATAATTAAAAAGTGATATCCTAATTAAATGAATAAAAAGAAACGGTTTCATCAAAAAGAAAAGGTTGACTTTGCAAATCAATTTGGAACGGATGTAATATGAATTATAAAATATGAAAATTGTGTGAATTTTTGAAGGATGACTAAACTTTAATTTTTCCTTAAACACTTGGAAAAAGTGACATTGTTTGGTATTGGTATGACATGGTACCGTCCCATTTGAAAATGGACTGTACCGAACGGGTTTAGATCTAAGACCGAACCGAACCGTTTCAATAGTCACGGTACGAGTACAGGTTCGGCAAAATATTAGACCGGACCGCACCGTGCCCACCCCTAATTCCGGGTGCTCCTCTTCTTCAATCTTAGGATGTTTTTACTTGGACTGTAATTCCTCTCAGACCAGACCAGAACAGATGAGATCAGACCATACTTCGATAGTTATAAAAATACAAAGAAACCAGATCAGACCAGTTCAGACCAGATCAGAACAGCAAACTACAGTCTAAGTAAAAACATGGTTATTGTCACTAAACATTGCTACAATTTCCTCAAAAGATCAAATTTCCTCCAATTATGCTATAGGTACCCCAATTATACCCCAAATTGTACTCCATATAAATACCCTCCCAAAACATTACCCCCACTCCCTTATCTCCCTTTCCCCTTCATCTCCCTTTCCAAATCTCCCTCTTTTCCAGCCTTTCCCTTCCCCACGAAAAATCAAACCGCTCATAGACCTCACCCCTCGCGTCGCAGACCTCCCCAACCCTATCATCTTCGGCCACCGGCTCACTCCTCGCGAAGCAGCTTAAAAGCGACAGAGAAGCTTCCGTCGGATCTACATCTGGCTGAGCAGTGCGGCGGAAGGAAGCGGGGGCATCAAGGCAGGGCACTGTCAGCGGTAGCAGCGTACAACGGTTGCGATTGGGTGGGTCGCAATGGTGCAGTCGTCCCACCCCTTCGCTCGCCCTCGTCTTTGTGAGTCTACGAGTGTAGATGGGGAAGATTCGAAGCAGTCTGTGTTCCTACTGGGCAGAAACCTCCTATTTTTCTTATGCATTTTAGGGGCTTTTAATTTATTTTTTCCAGAATTTATGTATATTTTGTATACTATAACATTGAATAATTGCATTTTTGTGATGCTAGTTATTAGTTTTTTATTGCCACTACTTTATTTTATTTGATGTTCATAACGTGTTTGTTGAAATGTCTCAATGAAAAGAGTTATCTGGCATTCCATTTGATTTGTCTGTAATGTGAAATGTATTCTGTAAAATTGATTTGTAGTTGTCTGTATGTGAAAAGTGTTGTCTGGCATTCCATTTGAGTTGTCTGTAGAGTGAAATAGTTGTCTGTCAATTTATTTTGAATTGTTTAAAATTGGTTTATAGTTGTCTGTCATGTGAAAGTAGTTGTCTAGCATGGCATATTAGTTGTCTGACACATTAAATCCAATTGTTTAAAATTGGTTTGAAGTTGTCTGTCATGTGAAAGTAGTTGTCTGGCAAGACATTTGAGTTGTCTGTTAATTTATTTTAAATTGTTGAAAATAGTTTTGTAGTTGTCTGTCAGGTAAAATTAGTTCTCAGGCAACCCATTTGAATTGTCTTGCACGTCGTTTGGAATTCATTAAAATTGGGTTGTAGTTTTCTGTCATGGGAATTGACTTCTCTATCAATATATTGCAACAAATTGTCTATAATGTGATATAAAATGTCTGGCCTTTCTTCTTAGTTGTTTGTTAGTAAAACTGTATTTTATAGTACATTTTGATGAGTTTAGTAATTGTTAATGTGATTATATAAAAGTGTTCGGAGATGATTGTATTTGTTAATGTGACACCGTCCCCAAGCATGTTTACTTTTAGTAAATTATGTAATCAACCTTGAAGGATGATTTATGAATTTACGTAATTGTTAAATTTTATTATTTCTTTTACGTGAATAGTAAATTGCATGTGGGACCCACAACAGGAACGGGGACCGCCCGATAATTCCAGAACCACATATTATATTCATCTTGGTCTAGATGACATCTATATGGTGGTGGATATTTTATTTGGGCCATAAGAAAGGCATGCAGTTGACCGGTTGGTCAAACGGGACCCAATTACCGGTATTGGTAATTTAGCGGATAACAACCCGAAGTGAGTTTCGGAGACTCCTAAATTTATGTTGGGGAATGTACATCTATTCTAAAGGCCCGTAATCATTAGGAACGCGTGATACATTTTATTTGGCCCGATAAGATAGAATATAATTAAAACGGGCCGAGAAATACAACTTTCGGGGCCGATTGTACACACTGGAACATAATGGGATGACCTCCCACATAAGTGGGGGCCACCCCACGTTTTTATGGGTGCTGATTGACCAAATAATATGGGAAGGACGGATGATTGAGATGGGAAGTCTCAATTGATACAAAACCCACACCCCTCATGTCATATCTCTCACAATATTATTGTGTTGGTTGAGAAGAACCTCTCCCCTACCCTTCTTACAACCATTCGGCCAGCACAAAGAGAGATAAGGTCCAGGGAAAAAGCTCTCAAAGTTCTGGAGCCTGAGAAACCAAGAGGAGAGAAGAATCCAACAAGAAAAGCTAGGAATTGAGGTAAGAATCCAACTAGTATGCATTAATTAGTTTTATCATGTATGATTTGTAAGAAATCATATGGTGGATTAAACCATGAGTTCTACACGTTTAAAAGTGTAGAATATTGTTATAAAGTAGTGCCAATTAACTTAGAAGAGTTGGTGAATCAATAGGAGTCGAAATCGTCGGAAACCGCCACTCCAAAGGAGTTGTTCGTAGCTGCACACTATGAAAGCCGTCCGGCTTTCGTGAAAGCCGCTCGGCTTTTGTCCAGGCAGTCCAGTTTTGTCTTCTTATCGGTTTAGAACGAGGATTAATCGGGGAGCTTAACAAAGGCAACTATTTCAGCACTTCATAAGGTGAGTATGGCTGACTATATTGCTTATAATTAGTGAGTTAATTTCATGAGATTACCTAAGGTAATTAAATGTGTTTTTATGGATTATTAATGATTAATAATGCCTAAGAATGAGAAGACTAATGTCTGTAGAGAAAAAGAGCATGATATACAAATTTAAGAGTAAATT